GTTGGTGCCAGCTCGCTGCCTGGCGGCTTTCCCGTTTGTCTGTGGTTCTTCGTGCCTGCGGGTCAATCTCTCTTCGAGGGTGAGCTAATACTTTTTTATTTGAAAATACATTTTTTCGTTTAGTTGTCCTTTCCCTGTACCTCCGATTAGCACAGTTGGCTACGTACGGTGCGAAAGAAGTTCAACATACATACTGTTTAACACGTACGCTTTCGGGACCAATATCATCCATAAGGTTTTTTTGTTTCGGGTTAGATCGTGTAAATATATGAATGTGTCGTTAAAACCCGCCACCACCCGACACAGCCGACGAGTAAGGGTTGTCACGTAAACAGAACGTGGCCAATTCGTCACTCGTACAGCAACACCGGTGTGTTGGAGAGCCAAGCCACAACATTTACAACCTGAGTACGACGTTTCGCCAGTAATTACAACTAGCTTCATCAGGCGACAGCCAGTATTGTGGAGAAGTCCACCTGTTTCGTTCCTTATATAGAGGCGTAGATGTGATGACAACACTTCTGCACTCTTTCGAAAAGTGGGGGGGGGAGTAAAGAAGGAAACGTACATTATGCATGTGCATTATCCGAGCCCTTTGATCTTGTCCTTCCTGTCCATTGTGTGTATAAAATTAGCCGTACCAACCGTACTAATGACGAATTGGCCACGTTCTGTTTACGTGACAACCCTTACTAGTTGGCCGTGTCGGGTGGTGGCGGGTTTTAACGACACATTTATATATTTACGCGATCTACCTAAAAAAAACCCCTCTATTATACATACGTACTGTGCGGCGTTTTACAAGTTGAAACGATTGTAAGCCCTTCGTTTTGCAAAAGCAATCACCACGAATCTTCTCGATGACCCGAAAATGCCACAAACGAACAGGCCACGCCAGTGGCACACTAATTACCCACGAGCTGAATAACTGACCGATTCGCAGCCGCTTTTTACGCGAGTGGAAACATTCACCAATGGGGGGGGGGAGATGTGAATTATGAGCCAGTGCACTTCACTGCGAGGCCGTCAATGGCTTGGTGAGGCAATAACAAGAGCAGCCGTAGTTGATTTAAAAATGAAATAAAACTCTGAACTCGCCAAGGATCGAGTTCCATGGAAATACTCGACAGTCAGGCACAAACTTAATATCGCGTTGAGGACTGCGTCACATTAGCGGCGCTTAAACGTTACAATTTTAAAAAGCCACGATCGAGCGGATGGTAAAGAGAACTGAACACCTGTTCCCGTGGATAACTTTACTTTTCAACAAGCCATAATGTTCCACGAGCAAAATTAACATTACATATGTGCTGGATATGTTGGCCAATATTCGACTGTGTCTCATTCCATTACGCTGCCTTTTATCAGCACAACGTGGAATTAAATTAGCAAGCGGAAACATTGGGGGAATGAATAGCTTCGGTTTCTTTAGGACTTTTATGAAACACCTTGAGAGGATTTCGCATTTGTATGGCTTTAAATCCCTCACGAAACTCTCGGCATTTAATAATATTTAATAACATCACGCAACATACCAGCTACATCAATATTTTGACCATAAATCATAACACATTCATGCCATGCAAATGTCTCTGAAGTCCAAGCCATGGAAAATCGTGCAGAAAATGTACAATTAAACTATCTGGCAAAGAATGTGGGTACATGCACACAACAAAGGACCAACAAGGCCTGTAGATACATGGCCATATTGAAAGCCAATATAAATGCTAATACTCCATAATGAATCAAGCATATGGCCTCACGAAGCAGCTATCTGAACACCTTCCAAAGGCAGAGGAACACAATGGAGGATTCAAACGTGTGTTCGTCATGGGGGCACGATTGGGACTGGCACGCTGACACACTGTGGCATCCTCTAACAATAATAATGTCAAACATCTCTGCAGCAGTCACGTGTGCGTGACAGCCGGTGCAAATTGATAATCCCCCGCTGAAAGTTATCAGGCGGATCCAAGAATTGGACCGTTAGCTTTGTGTAAACTGGTTCAGTGATGAGCGCGTTAAACGCTCAGTGGTCAGACTTGCCAGTCGCAGTTTCCAAGTACTACGGGAGGCTGGAAATACTGGAGGCGGGGGGAGGCCTGAGTGGGGAAACTAAAGAAAAACTCTGAAAACTACCATATACCCCCTCACAACTCAGTGCAATACCCTATCCAAAAACGACACTCTATAGGGGTAGTGCTAAGATGCACAATCTATGATTGTGCGTCTAAGCAATCTATGATTGTGCGTCTTTATTGCAGTCGAGAGAGGCCAGGGCCAAAATCCATACGCAAAGCGTGACATCAAGGCTGCCCTGGCAGGTAGTTTCTTGCCGTGCAAAAGTAGTGCGGTTTATTTATTTACGAAACTTAGTTCTGCAGCAGGTATTGGCGCCCGATCAGTCTTTACGGTGGAGGGCCAACAGCGAGTTCAGGGGAGGGAGGGAGGGAGCGAGGCAGAGGTTGTCACCTCAGTGTGCGCGTGGCGAGCGCGCGGGGGGGGGGGGGGAGGACACTCCACATCAAAAAGGTCGTTGTCAATCCGGTGACAACTTGCCTCCGCAGCGGCCGTGCGTCACATTCAATACCACGCTAAATATAAACCGGGGCAACACTGGTCGACTCCCATCACCCGGTTGGGTGATGCCGCGGTAAAAGAGCTAAACTCGCCGCCATGTGTGTGCGTGTATGTTGTACTGCCGTGAATTCAATGGCAGGTCGGGTGTCGCCACAGCGCATCGTCGCACGCACAAGCACCGCTCTGGTGGAACTCGCCAGCGCTCAGCCTGTTCATCGACTGGGCCCCCTCGAATTCGCCGCTCTGGCTCACGGCCGCCAAGGAAGATGAGTGCCGCCCCTATTGCCCGTTTGAGTTGCAAGATGCTTTGACCTTTGGCTTCTTGAAATGCGGCCGAGTTCACTAGTTCCGCAAGGCCTTGGTGCCAGGTTTAGGGAATGCCCTTGTGCCCTTGAGCTGAGCGCGCAGTTTCCTGCGCCACGTGCGGCGCTCCTCCACATGATTAGTGCAGATGCAGTCGTGTGTTATATAGTGCTACGGCATTTTTCGGCAGCACGCAGCATTCACAGCTCACCTGCTGTGAATATGCCTTTACTGTGGAGTGAAAATATATACTGCATATGTTACGTGAACCCATAGTATGTTGTATTGTGCTAAAAACAGCAGTTAAGCGAGTTATGCAGATAATAAACAAATAAGTAATTCCCCATTACTATGCCTCAGGCATTGACAATAAACCCTAAGAATCTTAAATGCGCCCTAGATCTGGCTCAGGAATTCTCATGGTATCATAGTCTGCCTCTGCAAGCCTCGGCATTTATGTCTGCGAAGCGATGTTAAATCCTAACACCTTTCTAAGCAGCAGGCACAACTTATCAATAGAGATACGCATTAATGTTGTTAATGCTGGTAAAGCGGTATGTGCATATACAAGATATTGCACCGATACGCAAGTTGCCATTGCTTGGCTTCGATGAAATTATAAATGTCGTGTCGGAAAGTCATGAACAACAGCCCTTGGATGATGTCAAAAAGTGCGCAGTTAAACCTTCACACTGCAATAAATACATCACGGGTCCAGGTGCTGAAATGGCACGGAGACAGAAACACACACGCAGTTTCCTCCACCTGTGCGCCCGAAGCAGAATTTGCCGAGGCCTCACACGTGCTTGCAATCAACCGTGGAATGCGATGCACTTTGCTGAAATATTCCGGTGTTCAAAAAAAAAACACCGTGTGTCTCTCAGCCAGCGGACAGCCTTTGATCCGAACCCCTAAGTGTTATATCATCATTACCATCGTCGTCGTCGTTTTCTTATTATTCTTCTTCAGACAAAGGCACTGCCTGAAGGAGGTTTGGACCAAAACACAGTGACTTCCCCCTTACTGCTAATCACAAGGGTTACGAGTAATTCAATAATTGTGGGGCAATTTTCAACATTTGGCCCATGGCAGATAAACAGTGTCATGTGATCATGTCCACAATGGTGGTAAACATAGGCATTTAATAATGCATCGACTGAGCAATTTAAAATTGTTCTCAAGCTCGTGTGTATGAAAATCCATTATCTACCGTTTCAGGAAGTCAGGAGAAAATAGTGTCACTATGTGTTACATTCATGGTGATGGAGCAAACGAGATTGAGTTCACCAGACAAAACGAATACGAACCGAGACAATATAAATGTGACTTGGCTCACTCACGCCTTCATCACATCCTGACTTGAGTTCTTGCAACTCCTCCACGGCCTCCCTAAACCCCTCATCTACAACCTCCAGATGTTCCAACATTCTGTTTTGCCAGCTCTCTCACCTGCATCCGTAAGCGAGCCCACATCGCCCCAACACAGGCCCCTCTCCAATGCCGCCACTGGCTCCCAATCCCATCCTGGATTAATTTAAAATTTGCACTCCCCGTCACCAAGACCCCTCGCTGGACTCGACTCATTTCACCTCTCCCTTTCATCTCGCTCTACTCCCCTCTACGCACCACCCTCCACTCCCGTAATAAAGGCTTTCTATCGAAGCCCCCAGCCAAATACCGTTCAGGCGGAAGACTGCTCATTCTCTTTTGCTGTCCACATCATTTGGAAGCTCCCTTCCCCCCCCACCCCCCACAAGTGATCCGTGCCTGTTGACTCTCTGCCCTTAATCAATCCAGGTTCAAGACGTTGCTTATTTCCTCTCTGCCTATGAAGCCCTCTCAGTTTCTGTACAGCATCTTGAGATGCGGTCGCATTCAACCGCTATATAAATCCACATTGTATTGTGTGAATTATGCTGAAGGAGATGCTGAGAGCAGTGGTAATAACGGCGTCTGTAATGGATGTTGGTGGTGGTGACATTGACGGTTCCATCCACTCATCCACTCGGGCTGCCAAACGGCAACGCGTTTTCAATCATAGCGCTGAAAACTTGACTGTACGGATTTCATGGTGAAGCAGTGTTGTGTTGTTATTTTTAAATGGAGTTGCAACAAACCTCTTGAGCTGGCAGGATGACAGCTCCTCCTGCAGAACAGCTGCTCTCTTCTGCAAGGAGACCACCTGCGGGGCACAAGTGGGAACAATGGAGACAACGAGTGGCGATAAAATATTCAATAAACGCACGTCAACAGAGGCGCTCGCCCGGGTGCAGACGCACTGCGGCGTGGGAGATGGCGTGCCGTGCATCTGGTTGAAGGGGCTCGCATTAAAGGACGGGGGGGGGGGAATAGTGGGGGGGGGGATAGTGGGGGGGGGGATAGTGGGGGGGGGGGATAGTGGGGGGGGGGTTGCGGGGACGCGGGTTTCTTCGCGACGAGAAAAAATTTAACGGAGAAACCGAATTGCCCTGCAAAGTCAGCTAATTGTGTGCATGTCTGCGTGTTGAACTTCGTTCGCACCATACGTATCATCGGAAGGACATCAAACTAAAATCTAGGACAACCAAACAAGAACCTCTCTGCCCTCTCTCCTGTGTAGAAGGTTAACTACCCGACACGTCAGGCCCGCTGCACAGTATAACCTCGTTCATAATAGAGGTTATTTTGGGTTAGATCGCGTAAATATATAAAATGTGTCGTTAAAACCCGCCACCGCCCGACACAGCCAACTAGTAAGGGTTGTCACGTAAACAGAACGTGGCCAATTCGTCATACTGCACTAGTGTATAGTGTAGTGTATAGTGGTAGTGTAGAGTGTAGTGTAGTGTATAGTGTAGTGTATAGTGTAGTGTATAGTGTAGTGTATAGTAGTGTAGTGTATAGTGTAGTGTATAGTGGAGTGTATAGTGTAGTATACTAGTACAGCACACAGGTGTGTTGGAGAGCCAAGCCACAACATTTACAATCAGAGTACGACGTTTCGCCAGTAATTACAACTAGCTTCATCAGGTGACAGCCACTTTTGTGGAGAAGTCCATCTGTTTCGTTCCTCATATAGAAGCATAAATGTGGTGACCACGCTTCTGCGCGCTTGCCAAAGTGACGGGGGGGGGGGGGGGTAGATGAATGAGTCAACGTTCATTATGCATGTGCATTATGCGAGCCCTTTGATCTTGTCTTCCTGTCCATTGTGTGTATTAAAATAGCCGTACCAACCGTACTAGTGACAGTGACGAATTGGCCACGTTCTGTTTACGTGACAACCCTTACGAGTTGGCTGTGCCGGGTGGTGGCGGGTTTTAACGACACATTCATATATTTACGCGATCTAACCCAAAAAAAACTATTATAGATGATGTTCGTCACGAAAGCCTCCTACGTGTTAAACTATCCCTTCCGTTATTCGCGAGGGATACGTTCCGGAGATGCTCACGAAGAGCAAATTTTGCGGATACGATCTTGGCCAATTTAATTTAAAACCTTACATAAATACATAACTAAGCTGTTAAATACATGAAAAATATCATAACACGAACAATTGGTTGTAATCAACAATGTAAATACAAATAACTATTATCGTTTTAAATAAGTTCATAAATTAACCGACCTTACATTATGATGATTTTGTGCATCATAACTTTATCCCATCACTGCATCTCATCACTTGATCTCATCACTTTCTCTCGATGCAGTCGTGTAGCGTCCCAGATGCGATTCGCGTAAGTTCGTGAATAACGAGGGAATACCGCATTCGTCTTTTTAAATCCTTTATATTAAGTTCGCATGCTTGCTTGCTTGCTTGCGTGCTTGCTTGCTTACGACCGTGCAAATCTTTCGGTCGTTTTTTAACCCACTTCCCGTGATCCAATCGAGCTGACATTTTCCACACAGACTCGTTGTGCCAGACAATAAATGTTCGTGAAAAAAAATTCCCAAAATGTTACACTTTTTAAGCAAAAAAAAATATTTTAAATATATTCAAAAGAACTCATTCTTGGCTTTGGCTGAACGTCACAATATAAGAGCCCAGAGCGTAACCCCTCCACAGGCCGTGGCGGAGTAGCGCAGTTGGTAGCGCCCTCGCTTCCCATGCCAAAGGTCGTGGGATCGATCCCCGCGTCCTCCACAGGCGAATATATTTTTAAATCCTTTATATTAAGTTCGCTGCCACGCATATAAAGGATTTATAGTAAAAAACTTTGTTTTTACGGGTTATACTTATTCCGTTTTGAGGTGGTGTAAATGACGAGCGTGTTCAGCTGATGTGCGTTTTGTATATTTATTGAACCGATATTGCGAGAGACCACTTAGGTATATATTTTGAAAAAGCAGACCTTGGCAAAGGTACCGAGAGACACATTTACAATCATTAATAGACATTCTTAAACAAAGTGGCACTACGGATATGAGACCAGCGTGCAATGCCCCACGTACAAATCACGTGAGCAAACGAGAGTGGCGGTCTGCAGAAGCTTTCCACCTCCAAGTGAGAATCTGAGACGAGGGGGCTATCCCCAAAACGCTAAACGATGCCGCTTGTTTTGTAACGCTTCACCTGGTACAGGGAACTTCTACGATGCATCAGTAACGTATTTGCGAAATGGGCAGAGCTCCGTTTGTCCTGACAGTGAACTGGGACCTGCGCATCATTTGAAGACCTCTTATTTTAAATAATACGTGGCTCCGCCCCATTTACAGGCCGGCGCCTCGCATCGCTGACATTTTAGGGTAGAGCTTCAGATGATACTAGGAAACGAGTGTAAGCTGTACATTGCCGATTGTTTTAATTACATAGCTCTCTTGAAGAGGAGATACTCGAAGCAGAGCACTTTGCAGTTGATTAATTCTATGAAGTAGTTGAACATGATTTCTGAGCATTCCAAAAACCTCTCTAATGCAGTTAAATTTCGATTTAAAGCTTTCGTGACTGCAGGGATTCATCTTCTTGGTTCTTTCGGTAAAGTCACGTAGAATGGAAATAATAAAATAATAAAAATAAAACATAATAAAATAATTCTCACGATGTTTCTTAAAAAATTCTTATCACGACGTGTCTTCTCGACAGACCTGCTCTCCACCTGAGGACGGCCGCTTGCGTTGTGGCCGAAACGTCGTGAGAATTATTTTATTATGTTTTATTTTTATTATTTTATTATTTCCATTCTACGTGACTTTACCGAAAGAACCAAGAAGATAATGCAGTTAAGTCATGTAAAGTCCTGCTTAAGCACAACGGGTTACTCGGAGAATTCTGTAGTGCAAAGGAACCCGCTATCAAACCAGGTGGCTCATCGGTTAAAGCACTTGACTCACAATCACAAGGTCGCAAGTTCAAATCATGGTCGCTTAATGAAATTAGTACCACTCTGCGGGAAGCCAAGATTGTTTGTCCTTTGGAAAAAATGACATCTGCTGCCCTGGGAATGTGGAATTGCCACCACTGGCTCAGGGCTGCTTCATTGATAAGTTTCAAACGGCAGAAGAAAAAAATTTGTTCCTTGACTTTGGCAGGAATGCGTTCCGTAAAATTTTCAAGCAATATGCCGTTGGCCATGAGGCCTAAAGTTTACGCATCACAGCAAATGTGTTGGATGCACAGTGGAGTTCCTTGTTGTCTGTTAGCACTGCGGCACGGCTGTGCCAACACAGTGAGACCAAGACACGTTAAATGTAAACAACACACACGTGAACCGGCCCTTCTTAGAAATTCCTTCTTAAAATATTTAAACACCAAAAAACCAGGCAGTGCATCAGCAGTGGAACAATTAAATAAATAGAGGACAACACACAAAGACCCACTTGAAATGAAAGGACGCGTCACTGTCATCAAACGCTACATTAATAGACGAGGCACACGCAGGCAGAGATACAAATAAATAATTGTCACAGCCAAAACGGAGTGTCTCCCTCCGTTTCAGGCGCGTGGGGCGGCAATCATCTCTGTCGGTGTCCCTACGCCAGTTGGGTAAATTCCACATTCCCGTTCCGAGGGCTCGTCGCTCCAAAGCTCAACTTGCTGTTGACTCACCGCAACTGGAATTTGAACTCGGTCGCTGTTTGATCACGAGTCAATCGCTCCAATAACAATGCCACTCGGTCGGAAAAAACCAGCGACGCGTATACTGTACGTGTGGGTCGTTTCGGCATGAATGGGTTAAACATGACGTCTTGCCGTTAAAGAAAAGTTGTGAAACCAAAGTCTTGGAATGCAGGAAGGCGATCGATGAACACATCTGTGACACTTAACACTGCCCGTCCTTGGAGCTGACCTTTGCACCATAAACAGCGAGGTATGCGGCAGGCGTAGGGCGAGTGAGAGGCGACAGAGAGTAAAAAAAAACAGAACAGCCTTGGCTCACAATTTGTTATAAAAAATAAACTAGAACAAAGACCCCCCCCCCCTATAGCCTGCATAAAATGTTGGGGCAAGTTCTGTTAGCGAGCACCTATTCAGGCCAGAACAGCACATAAGTGGGCGGTGTGGCTAACAGTACACCTTTGTCTGCCCGGTACTGATGATTACACACCGCACCAGGCACCCACATAAGGCGGAATCAACCTATGGGAGGCACAGAACAAGTTTATGATTTTTGGCAACGATTTCAGCCGATGCCAAGAACCGAACCAAAGTGGCCAGCTTTCCAGCACAGTACGTTCACCACTACCGCCAGCCCCTACTCCCTCCTAACGCACACACGCACCAGCGGCGGCAGGCTCGCGGTGCGTAAAGTATAACCTAACTGTGCCTCGCGCACGGTGCCAAAAAAACACGAGCAGCTCGCGCTTAATATTAATCCACCGCTCTCTGCCAGGAGAGGAATGTTTCAGAAGCCCCTGCCAGCGCTTGGCAACTCCAACAAAGCGCCGCGTGCCGCCTGGAGGGCGGGGACCGCCGTGTGGGGCTTTTCATCTGCTGCCAGCGCCGCTCGCTCTCTCGCTCCCTCGCTCGCGTGGGCCGGGGCTCAACATCCCCGTAGTACCTCACGCCGGGGCCACTGGGTTGGGTTCGGCAGTTGTTGGCAGCGGTGGCGGTGGGTGGGTGGGTGGATGGATGGATGGAGAGGGGCGGGGGAAGGCCATGGGGAGATGTCAAAGCCAGGAGCGGGGTTTGGCGGGCGCCGCTCGCGCATCTGCAGTCCGTCGCTCGCTCGGGCACGCGCAGGTGCGTCGGCAGCAAGCAGGGCTGGGAGGCGAGGAATAGCGGTGGGATCACCATATGCTCTTGGGCAGGTGGCTCGAGTTGTCACCTGTGCGACGGTCACCTGCCCGCTGGTAATTAAGTGCAAAATGTTGCGGTGATCTGTGGCGAGTTACCTCCCAACCATGTGTAATTGGGTATAATTATATGTTCCTTATCCAGCGTATTAAATAATGTTGGGAAAGTTACACCTCCCATTTGTGAAGGCTGCCAACCTTTCAGCTACCTGTCCAGATTTATTTGTTTTTTTTGCAACAGCCAGGGGGGGTTTTACCAAATGCTGGACAGGCGATAAAAAAAGGTTTGACAATGAAATATGAAACGTGCAAACTTCACATGCACTACTGTGGGATGTTTTTACCACTGGCAATGCTGTTAGAACATTAGTTTCTAAAGGTGGGAATAAAATTTAAAACTAATGGCATATCCCACATTTTTTTTCTTATTTTCAGCAAATTTTTACCGTCCCTCGCCTGAGTTAAATTCCTGGCCAAAGGTTAACATCGGTGTCAAGTTATAGTTGCATCGCTCCCGAGCACCCTGTCGCCAATTGACACTGACCGGCGTGGTGAAGTATGGTGAAAAAAGCCCCCGTGATTGCCTTGGGGAGGCCACGATCCAGCAGTGGATTGAAAAAGGACTGTGGATTATTGTTCACATGAATCCTGACCTCAAGTGCTGGCAACTTACTCCTCGAATACGGGACTGTCACGCAAGAGAGCCATTTCATATGTTTGGACACGTGAAAGAACTACCACACTTATTTTAGAAGTCCATGCGTGCCTGCTATGGCACTTTTTTTCTCTCTAATCACTGGCAGGGCCCATGCATTTGTGCAGATACACAGCCGGGGTTTAGCGTGAGATCCACGGCTGGGGTGAAGGGTGGGTGGGGGGGGGTGAAGGGTGGGTGGGAGGGGGGTGAAGGGTGGGTGGGGGGGGGTGAAGGGTGGGTGGGGGGGGGTGAAGGGTAGGTGGAAGGGGGTGAAGGGTGGGTGGGGGGGGTGAAGGGTGGGTGGTGGGGGGTGGGTGGTGAAGGGTGGGTGGGGGGCGAGACTTCAGCACGCCGCACGAACTCGTCGCAACGCTGTGCGGCGGTAACGTCATCACCGCTCACTTGCCTGCCCGTGCACCAGCCAGCCAGCAAAACTTTTTTTAAAAATTATATGGTATGAATCTCGACGGGATCTCACTTGGTAAAATTATGTTTCGAGTAGTTTTTTGTGCGAATTTCCTGGAGATTGTGGGCTAATGTTGTAAGGGAGTTAGATTTGTGTGAAACTGCAGTGTGTCTGCACATTTTTGTGTCTGCAAGGAGATGGCTATGTACATGTTTGTGCGTGTGCATGTGTGTGAACATGTGGGGAGTGGTGGTACAGTGATTAGCACGCTGTGCTACGAACTCAGCGACCCCAATTACATTCCCGCTCACGTCCATTAACAGTGGTAATTAGTCAAATTCTTCCAGGGCCTACCCTAGGCTGACGAAGCCTTAAATTAATACTTGATGTGGAAGACAAATGCGGCCGGGCGTGGTGCTGGCCACCCACCCCCTCATATCCCCGCAAATAGCACTTACGGGAGATCTTTGTATGTGTGTGTGAGTGCAGATTAAGCACAGGGCTTCTCAATTTTTGTAAGAGGCGCTATGAGGTGTTTGGTCCTCGTCTGATGACACTCATCTCTGGGGTTAAGGGTGGCGGCTGGGATTGGACAGCTGGGCAGAGGTCGCCCACTTTGAGATGCGCCAACACGAGCAACGAGGCAGTTTAGAGATGGCGGAATCCAACATTAGCACGTGCAAACTCGATTTAAAGCTTTTGTGACTGCAGGGATTCATCTTCTTGGTTCTTTCGGTAAAGTCACGTAGAAGGGAAGCAATCAAATAATAAAAATAAATATAAAACATAACCGAAAGAACCAAGAAGACGTGCAAACTCGCTTCAAATAAATAAAGTACGCTTCGCGCGTGAACTTTTCGCCAAACGCTTCAATGAATGCCTAAGGATGAAGTAGTCCGGCGCGCTAGCTTGTATCTGCTACTGTGCTGGGCGACGTCTTGCTGGGCTCAAACGTTTCGTTGCATACGCGGCGATGGTTCGGGGGTTGGTGACCGCTGTTTTTAACGGTAAGATTAACGCGTAAACCACACGCACTGAAGCAGCGGTTCACAAACTTTGCTCAAATCGTGTATCACAAATTAGGAAGCCGCTGGAGCTATGCTTTTAAATCTAGATTTAAAACTAATTTATTTCGAACTGCTTTTTGTTGTCCTTCCCCCGCACCTCTGATCAGCACGGTTAGCTATGTATAGTGCAAAAGAAGTTCAACATACGTGTATATATGAAATATATGCAATTTGATGTACCGCCAGCTAATTTTTAATATAACCCCCACTAAAGAATTAGTACTGTACAATAATATAAAAAAAACATTGTATTAGAATTACATGCAGAAGCACCTACTGATGCATACGTACAGCAGGGACAAATGTGTACTGACTACATTATGTGTCGTCACACTGATTGCTCAGCAAGTGACCATGGCTTCAAGATAAATAACATTCAGTATGATGCCAATGTAACAGGAAGTGGGTATGTTAAAATTAGTATGGCCAAGTAACATGTTAACTGTAATGTTAATAAGTTCCAGCTCTTTACCACTTCACTGCCGTGTGAATCATGAGAGTTGTTTGACCATACTTCTCCATGCTGGTCAGTGCAGGTTGGATGAAGGGAGGCCCATGATCGGTTGAGATACTGATGTTTGCCACGGCTAGGACTCAGGTCACTGGCCTATCGCTCCGTATGAAGCCATGGGTCTTCTCGTCCAGAGTTATGCCGTTCTCTTTGCTTACGAAACGTAGCTCCCCTTTAAAGGAACACCTGTACTGGTTTGAAATAATCAGGCTGGCCTATCTACGATCCACCCAGAGTTTAAATAAACTGGATTGTGTGAGGAGCTCACAGATCCTTGATACGTCTGAACATATTCCCATCATCTGCTTGGTTCTTTCGGTAAAGTCACGTAGAAGGGAAGTAATAAAATAATAAAAATAAAACATAAAATAATTCTCACGTTTCGGCCACAACGCAAGCAGCCGTCCTCAGGTGAAGACCAGGTCTGTCGGGGAGACAGCGTCTGAATGAAACACCACCACGCTTGGAGCGTATATTTAAGCTGGGTTGGAAGGGGGGAAGGGCGCCTTGACAAAATAATTTGCATATGTTTTCTTTTTTATTATTGTATTACTTCCCTTCTACGTGACTTTACCGAAAGACCAAGAAGATGAATCCCTGCAGTCACGAAAGCTTTAAATCAAAATATATTCCCATCAGTCAGTTCCTCCAGCAGGCAAGGATGCGTTAGCTGGGTCATGTAGCCCGCATGCCCAGCCACCGCATGCCCAAGCAGCTTCTGTTTGGCAGGATAGAGGGGGCTAAACGTGCATGGCACGGGTTATAGAAAAGATCAGCGGATGCGCTATGGGAAAGATGCAGATGACTGGTATCAGCGGTATCAAGATCGGCCTCTGTTGAGGAGGCATGTGAAGGATGCTACAGAATAGTTAGGGTCAGGTCCTGTCCCAACAACAGGATAGGGCGCAGAGTGATGCTCACAACAACAAGTGAAGCACTGGGCGGCTGAAACGCAACAAGAGTTGGCACAGTGGGGAGCACAAGTGATGCAGTGCATGTGTTCATATGCGTTTGTCCATGTGTGTTTTGGAGTGGTGGTGCAGTGGTTAGCGCACTGCGCTGCAAATCCAATGTCTCAAATTCGATTCACGGTCACGACTAAACATTAAATAAGTATCCGGTGCACTGTGTAAACATCAGCACTGGAGCGACAAAAGCGGCCTGTCATGGTGCTGGTTACCGATTGCCTCGTGTGCCGTGCCGGCCTTCGCTAACGGGACTTGCCCCAACAATCTGATAAAGCTAAACTATGGATCTTTGTCTTTGTTGCTGTGGGGGGAACAGTAGTGCATTGCACTACAAATGCAGCAACCCAAGTTCGATTATTGTTTACCATCAACATCAGTGACAAATATCTGCACTGGTCCAGGGCCTCCCCAAGCTGAGCACGGTAGTGCGGCGGTGTGTAAACATCACCGCTGGGGAGACAAAGACGTATTCTTAGGTTTTTTCGGTAAAGTCACGTAGGTCAAAAATTTAAATTAATAAAAGTCAAATAAAAATAAAATACAAATCACGACGTTTCGGAGGCAACACAAGCTTCCGTCTTCAGGTGGAACCGTCACTCTCACTTGATACAGCTATCGTGCTGTGACGGTTCCACCTGAAGATGGAAGCTTGTGTTGCCTCCGAAACGTCGTGATTTTTATTTTATTTTTATTTTACTTTAATAATTTTTTACCTACGTGACTTTACCGAAAAAACCTAAGAATATGAATCTTGCAGTCACGAAAGCTTCAAATCTAGAGACAAAGACGGCCAGGCACGCCGCGGGCTTCACCACCAGCTCGTACGCCGTGTCGGTCTTCGCAAGTGCTCGCTTAAGGCACTTCCCCCAACAGTCTATGGAGGCCATACGGGAGATCTTTGTCTTTTTTTTGTTGTCAGTGTGTGGGTTGAGACACACACCTGCGACTTGAGAGATGTGATGGTGTCCTCCAGTTCCTGCCGGAGGCTGGCGGGCACGAGTCCTTTCATCCTGCCCTCATGCTCCTGACGCAAATGTGTCATCTTTGATCCAGGGTGGGATGAGAGAAAGAGAGAGAGAGGACGGACATTGTCGTGCTCTGTAGTGCCGTATTATTAGCACAATTACCGCCACCGATAACCGTAACTATCATCGTTATCATAATTATTACATTATTACTAAGTGTTACGATATCACAATATTATCATTGCCCAGTGGAAAATTAAGCGTGTAGCTGGGAATTATTTTTTTTAAGGAATAATCATGGCGAGACGGTAAAATAAACTTCCACAACAAAACATTGCATTCTGAAATATTCTCAGGATGTAGGTTGTCTTTTTAAAGTGAGATACGTTGTCTCGGCAGATTTCCACCGGGTTACAATCTTACATAAGTGAGGGAATAAGACGTGACTACATCAAAAGCAGACCCCGCAAGTTTTTTGAGTCGCGACATATCACTATTAGCGGAACCGTGAGCGGCTTCTGGCAGCCAACGACGCGATGCATTCGGCCAATGCATCACAAAGCCTGTGAATCCCACGAATGCCTTCAAAACAATAATATCCTGAAGCGGACGATTAGTGCTGGATACAGTCACATTTGCCAATGTGATTTGTAACTTTTGATCCTTACGCGAGTATCGATAGTTCAATGTCAATGTCCCATTTTATTGATTGACGACTACTGTGTGGTTTTATCTCGGCGTGGTCTGGGTTTTGTTGTTGTTTTGCTGCCTTGCCCAAGCGTCATAAATCAGACTTTTTGCGTGTGACTTGCTTCCCATTGCCTCTATTTAACACTCATATCCTTGTTTAGTATTGTTTTCTTTTGTAACTTGCTGACCCACCCATACTGAACGTCTGTGGAAAAAGAGCTTCATATCTCATTGAATTCCTCCGGCAGTCTAAATTAAGACTCTGATTTCTGCCTCTCTGAAGCGTTTACATTTCACTCATCAACGTGTCGGAGGCTTCTTCGGGAACCTCGCCGTTGCCGTGTATATATATCCGGGTCCTGAATAAGCTCCCAGCACCACGTGCAGCATAATGCCAGACATCAAACTGAACAATGCAAAGCAGAAAACACATCAGACAGCGACACCGCACAACCGCGAAAACCTGCGTAATCCCATAAACGGCTGGAAAAACACAGCTGTGAGACAAGGGAAGGAACTAACTGTTGTAAGGGCTCTAGGTGTGGTTGCCAGTTGTGGTGGCACACACACACAGTTGAAAGACAGCAATTTGGAGGTGGGAGTCGGTGGATTATGCTGAGTTTGGGTATTTGAGGCGAGCGCCTGTAACGGCAGGAAATTTCCTCTAGGAGGGAGGCAGCAGAGAAAATAGTTTCCTGACATGGTGTGATATTTCAGTTTTCAGTTTCATTTATTTGGTATAGCCCTGTGAGCCATTCGGCTCTTGAATCGGGTACAACCGCAACACACAACAAACAAAAACATGAACAAGAAAACATCTTAAAGTGACTATGCGGAAACAGAAAAATCCAGAAAAAAAGCACCGTACACCAACGCTGTGCAAAAATCCCAGTGGGATGCAAGTCAAACAACAACAACAGCATTAGCGCGGTGAAAGGTGACCAGACATGATACTCGTCATTATACCCTCCTACCCTCCTGAGTCATATTGTAGACTTAATAGGAACTTGCAAACAACACTCGTCCTATAGTCAATCCGGGTGAGTGAAGATCTTACTCTCCCTAGCTATGGGAATGTACACACATGGAGGTAAAATCACACAACCAATCAAGCATGAGTACCTGTAGGTTTTTTCTTTCCTATACAAGATACTATGATTTGAACCCTTGATCTCAGAAGTACTGGCAGTTAGCATTTGTGCTCTCAATTAACCCGGTCACCTCTCAGCTAGAGCCAGTGCACGCAATACGCACGGTGACATCTGTGCCTCAAGCGAAGCCCCATCACCAATGTAGTAAACAAGAAACCTTTACTCGTGCACTAAAGCATTTGCTGAGCCTCGTGAAGGGTCAGGCTTGACCCATATGATCAATTCCCCTCATGGAGTATTGTTGGCAAATGAAAAAGAAATAAAGAATGCCCGGAGAGAACTCCAAGCAAATGCGGACAATCGCACTCAAATATGTACGTCGGTAACCTGCTTGCTGTACTGTATTCCACAGGCCACCTCACGCTGCTGGTTGAGTGCCTCGTGCACGATTATCTCCTGAACACCACGCCTGGAGAAACGAGGCGGAGAAGGGAGACCAACGCCCGCTACTCACCGAGCGCCAAGGGCCCGTGCCGAGCCAGGTTGACACTTTGACTGGAGAGCTTTGCCTCACAATAACAAAATAATTATAACCCGTAAAAACAAAGTTTTTCACTATAAATCCTTTATATGCGTGGCGGAGAGAGTCCTCTCGTCCTCTGGCTTGAGATGGCTGCCACCTATGGGTCAGATGATTGTCTGCCAGTATTAAGCAATTGGTAATTAAATATTTAATTTATTTTCCCTAAACAGTGTAAAAAAAATTTTTCAACATTTTCACGAACATTAATTGTCTCGCACAACGAGTCTGTGTGCAAAATGTCAGCTCGATTGGATCACGGGAAGTGGGTTAAAAAACGACCGAAAGATTTGCACGGTCGTAAGCAAGCAAGCAAGCACGCAAGCAAGCAAGCACGCAAGCAAGCAAGCAAACTTAATATAAAGGATTTAAAAAGTCGCAAGTTCAAATTCCAGCCTGGAGTCGACTCAATCCGTCATCATCCCTCTTGGAGTTTTAACACAAGTAGCACTTTGTGAGAGTCACCAGTGATTAACCTAAGACTTGACCAAGGCCTCGCCATGCGAATGTGGAAACAACACCACTGGTTTAGCACCACCAAATGGAAATGAGCACAGCCGCATTGCACTATGGGCATAATTAATCGTCCCTCCCTCGCAATTCTACGCGTTATCCACAAGTCAATGTTGTTAATCACATACAACACGTACGAATAAAAACATTGGTTCTTACTTATGTAATGTAACACGCAATTTCACCTTAGTTTTTTTCAACTTTTTTGTTCAGAGTTATGTTACTGATGGTTTTATTTCCCTGTACAATTTCGAAATTGAACTTACGATTTAAACCAGAACACCCTTTCTGGGTGGTATCAATGGATTGTTTTCTATCTCCTGGAGAAACAGAGTTGACTCACTCCAGTAAGACTAACACGCTTCAGATTCGATGCATTTTATCGTACCATCGACAATTCGCTGCATCGGTGAACTGTCACAACCCACTCTACATACTTGAAAGGGGAGACAATTTGACGTTTTTTTTTCAATAGGCGTGGGCCCCTTATTTATAATAAAACAACACGTATGCAAAAAATACCAGCATTTCCATTTAGCGAAACCGCCGTACATTATGGTGCCCCTTCAATGACGCAAACGGAGGCCGCGTACGTGCTTGGCGCTAACGACACACACACGTACGTGTGGTCGCGGCGGAACACCGTGTCTATGTGTAACTCGAGTGTCTCAATGCCAGCACGAGATTGTGTACGCGCGCGCACATCGGCGGGCCAAGAGACGCCGTATCGCCGGGGATCAAATATCATGGCATCACAAAAACTTCGGCTGCTTCCAGCTTTTTTAATGCGCTCGTTCAATACTATTTATTTATTTTGTTGCCCAGGTGCAGACCTGTGATGATTTAATTCAGCCTGCTGGTTCACGTTCTGCGGCTGTTATCTGTTGGTTCGAAATTCGAGATGCGGCATTGCGATGATTGACGGCAGTCTTTGAGACTAAATGATATTTCCACGACAGGCTGGCCACGTTTAATGGAAGGCAGATATCAATGATGCATATTGTCTTTTGAGCAAGCAGTTGAGTCTGCAGAGAAGGAAATTTAAATTGATTGCCTCTGACCAAATCACCCTCAATGTGTTCCATCTTGGATGCTAAGCGTGATTGAAAGTAGTACTTGGATTGGTGAATTCCTGGGTCTACCAGGTGTTTTACGCTTGGGCTGTGAGGAGGCTAGGAGATGGCAGTAGAGCAATAGATTCCAACATCTATCCGAGTGGAGCTTTATAAGCGTAGGGTTCGTGCAGGTAACCCAGTTTCCTCCCACATGCAAAACACCCAAAATGATGTTGACCAAACATCTCAATGCTGGAGCCTCCTGATAACACTATGTAACGCAATTTGTGCTCCTGGGTAATAAGTGTTATTTCCTAATTGTTGTGCCTAAAAAGTATATAAAATGGCTATTATTCCCCACAAACTTTGCTTTTGTGACCAGGACAGTGATATTTAGAAATGTACCTATTCTCAATGAGAAAACGGGCGAATTTGTGTCTTTTCATTCACAATCAGAAAAAAACCAACATATAAATCAAAATTAACATGTGTTTATACTGAAATAATACATAATTGGCTACAAAAGATGTAGAGGTGAGTAGTTTTTCGAGATTTATGATTATACTGTAAATCACTTTCACGAATCAGCCCCCAAATGTAGTCTCCCATCATGTTCTCGTTATACTGTCCTTGGTAGCGGCGTTCAAAGTCCAGTATATCCTGGTGTAAGCGCTCGCCTTGCTCCTCTGAGTACGCTCCCATGTTCTCCTTGAATTTATCAAGATGAGCATCAAGGATATGGACTTTGAGGGACACTCTACAGCCCATTGTGCTGTAGTTCTTCACCAAAGTCTCAACCAGCTCCACGTAGTTTTCGACCTTGTGATTGCCCAGGAAGCCACGAACCACTGCGACAAAGCCGTCCCAAGCCACTTTCTCCTTACTAGTGAGCTTCTTGGGAAATTAATTGCACTCAGGGATCTTCTTTATCTGTGGTCGGACGAAGACACCGGCTTTGACCTTTGCCTCAGACAGCTTAGGGAAGACGTCTTGAAGGTACTTGAAGGCTAGAGCTCTGACAAATAGTTTCACAAGGCCCAATTTGATGTGCAATGGTGGCATCAGCATTTTCCGGGGGTCCACCAGTGGCTCCCACTTGACGTTGTTCCTCCCCATAGAGAACTCGGTCCGCTGTGGCCAGTCCAGCC